AAGACAGCCTTTTCTTAGCACCTCTGCCTCTTGAAGATGCTTAAGCGCCGCTTTGAGCCCATTTTTAACAGCGTTCGCTGTGTTGCCGTACTTATCATTAATCATTTGTAGCGTCTCTGTTATATCTTTCGTTGTTAATTGGATTTTATCAGCAACTTGCTGTTGCTTTACTCTGAGCCTAGTGACACTTTCTTTTAAAGAAGCAAGCTCCTCCCTTGTCTGGTTGCTAAATACTGACACGTTGCTGTCCTAGGTGTCGTTAGTGCCTATACTCGACAGGCTTCCTCTTCGTCCTTTGTCTGTAAAAAAAGGCCATGGAACATTTAGCAGTCCCTGTTGGCCATGAGACACGTCTTTGTGCCCCCCCCCCCTGAATCCGTGGGGCCTGCGTCAGTCACCCGGGCTTTCACCGGATCGGAACTGCCGGTGGATTCCCTCAGAGAGGTTACCGCCTGGGGTACTAGTTTTACATCGACGTTTTATTTTGGCATCTTTTTAGTGTCGTACTGACCCGCGAAGGCCAGCACTATTCTTTTTTTCTTGAAATAAGTATTTGGAAAGGGTTAAAACCAGGGCAGCAGCCCTCTCTGTTACCAGTGAAAACCGCTACTTGCTCGGGCCGGCCGGGAGTCGCCACTCTCCCTCAGTCCTCCCCGCGGAGACTGCCCTGGCGTCGAGTAACAAGACTAATAATGGTGTTCGTGTGTAATGTATGTCTATGTTGGTACACTACAGTCATCTCAGCAAGACGAGCGGCAGGAGTACAGTCGAACGACCGAGCAAACAACCCGACGAAACAAGCTGGCGTAAGGCACTAAGGTGCTGCCATATAGCCTCCTTAGTGGTAGTAAGCCTAGATTAGTCAGCCCACCACGTCTTTTTTGTTTATAAGGCGTACAGCCCTATCAGATGTGGTTACCCAGACTTACCTGGGCCTCATCGTCCGGCTTTACCCGCTGCCAGGCCTCTAACGCAAGCCCAGGAAAGCCCCCGCCACCCGCAACTCGGGAAAATCCGTAAGTATCCCTATGTTTGTTTAGTGAGAGTATGATGCATGTATCTATGAATAATGTTATAACTGCCGCTTACTCCTATACACGACGGTTGCTAGTTTTCTGTAGCCTGCATCAAGCATTGTGGCGCTATCTACGGCGGCAGCAGTAAGAGAATAACAAAGAGCATAAGCAGGGCCGGCTCATACATCCACATCGATAAAGACAGAGGGCTCGCGTCCCCCGTCCATACCGCTACAGATACGCACGCCTTCTTATTAGTGCCTACGACCACCATTACGGAGAGTCACCCCAACTGCCCATCGTCACCTCATATTCTAAGACGATGCCCCAATTTGCTACCCAGGGGAGCGCCCGGTATGAAGAAACTAGGAAAACCCCACGGAAAGGGAACCCGCAGGAAAAAACCCCAGGAAAAATTTTAATTAAAAAAGACAATATACCTGCCACTGCTGCTGCTGCTGCTGCTGCTGCTGCTTTTGTCCCTGCTGTTCCAGTTTCGGACCCTGCTGTAGAATAATAAAAGAAGTTCAACAGAATGGTTTTCTTATAGTTTAAAAAATTATCATCATGGATATTGCATCTTTTTATTTTACTTNATCCGGAAGAGGCCCCCTTCCCCTGACGTTACCATCCGAGTAGTCCGCACCACCCACCGCCCCTACTACCTATACCGCCCATGCCCCTCCTCCCACCGCCCGATCAGCCTCTCCCCCACCACCGCCTCTCCTCTACCGCCCCATTAGCCGCTCCCCCCACCACCGCCTCTCTTCCACCGCCTTTTCTCAACCAACAGCTATAGCTAGAGCCTCTCCCCCCACCACTCCCTCAGGGGGGAGCTGGGGGGGTGCTAGAACCGCCATGGTTTACCTACTTAAAAAAGTTGTCTTTTTTAGAGAAAATAACTACACTAAACGGTGGAAGGAGTGCTTTAAATCCCTGCAAATCAGGAAACATCGAAAAGATATTTTCCGATCGCATAAGCAGAAATAACTCTGAACAGTGACCTAAAAGAAATTTCACGGACAAAGCGACATAGGACTTCCTCAGAAAGGCCTGAAAAATGGCAAGAAGCTGTGACCTCCAAAAAAAAGAGAACTAGTGATAGCAAGAGGTAAGAGGTATTTTCTACCCACGCAGCGCAAAGTACTACTGCTGCTGCTGCGCTGCTGCTGCTGCTGCTACTGCTACTACTCCCGGGTGGGGTTTTCCTAGTTTCTTCATACCGGGCGCTCCCCTGGGTAGCAAATTGGGGCATCGTCTTAGAATATGAGGTGACGATGGGCAGTTGGGGTGACTCTCCGTAATGGTGGTCGTAGGCACTAATAAGAAGGCGTGCGTATCTGTAGCGGTATGGACGGGGGACGCGAGCCCTCTGTCTTTATCGATGTGGATGTATGAGCCGGCCCTGCTTATGCTCCTTGTCTTTCTTTACGCGTCTGCAACTGTGCGTGTGTCAATGGCATTTGAATCTCATCGTTTGCCTTCGAATTCGGCTACATGCTGACATCGACATGCTACTGATCCTGCTCTAACTGTGCGTGTCGCTGGAACTCGAGTCTTATCGTTCACTTTTGGATTTAGCTATATGCTGACATCGACAAGCTGCTGCTTCTGCCGCAGACCGCTGCCGCTGCAAACTTACGAGTTGTTTTAAATTGCGGGTGGCGAAATCTCTTCTTGGTTGGCGTAGGGGGCCTGGTGGCGGGTGAAGCCGGAGTATGGGGCTTAGATAATTTCGGGTTACCACATCTGATATGACTGCACGCCTTATGAACAAAAAAAAGGGTGCGTCACAGGACGTACCGCAAAAGTGAAAACTTTGAAAATAATCAAAATATACATGAATCAACAGAGAGAGAGCAAGAGTTTGTAATTGAAATAGCGAGGGGTTGGAAGTTATAAATAATTTGCACATTAAAAAAAAAGAATCTGAACACCAAATAAAATAATCTTTTTATAATCACGTTCATTGATGTGTGTTTTGCAAAATGTATAGTACTTATACTGTTGCCATAATAGTCCAGTATTGTGATTAGCACATTGGTATAATGCTCATTGTCAATAAAATTATTTATTAAAATTACACACACATGCGCACACATGTAAGAAGTTACGTTTGATCAATATATTTTTTAGTTAGCGATTCTGCATTTTTAAAATAATTTTGAAAGTTGTTTTTGGGCAAAAAAACGGAAAATATGTTCTACGCATTTTTAAAAATTTAACGAATATACTATAATTTTTATTAAAATTTTGCAGCTCAATGTTATAAAGAAATATGAGAAACACTTAAACTTGAGGTAATGTCGTCTTATAACTCAACACCTATTTAGTTGTGTGCCACAATTTTCTTTTCTCTTTAGGATGCCTGTAAAAATCGTTATTTTCTGTGTATTTTGCTTTTTTTGGAGATACAGCATATTTCTCAATATTTGGAGGTCATGTATCCGCATAACCATGGAAAATCATTTCTGCATTATCGTAGATTTCTACTAAACGTTAAATAATTTTTCCTGCATAATTCCTGTATTTCATGAAGGTACATCGAAAGCATCTGCAATTGAGGTTATGTTTTTACATAATTCAAAGCCTCTCATTTTGTGCGCTACGATAATTTTATTTTCTTTAGAGAACGTGTAAAATTCGTTATTTTTTCTCTCTTTCTTTCCTTGAAAAATACGGCGTATTTTTAATATTCAAAGGTTGTCACATTATAAAAATCCGCTTAGTCAATAGTAGCTATGTGCATCGACCAGCCAGACATGCAAAAATTATTTGTTAATTTACTATGTTAAAATAATATTAACTAGCGTACATTGTATTAATATTAACTATTATATTTTATACACATGCGCGCAGGCAAACATGTACACACTTGCATAGTAGTAGTAGAAAGTACAGACACACATTCATCATACATGCACACTTTCATGGTTTCATCTATAATTCTATTCTGTACACAAGTTATACACACATACATACGTGCATGTATACGTCTTACGTGCACACAGCACTCAGTAACACACTACGACATGACAATAGGCCTATAGGCCCTACCTAACACCCTCTTAAGCTTTCCGATCGGGGAGTATATATAAGACCACATGCTGACTATACGAGTATTTTTGATCTTCAGTACACAAGTATTCCTGTATTACCTAACAATCTGCATTCTAACTCACGAACTGAGCAGAGACCGAAGTTTGTCGTTTTAAAAGATTTTATACTTTGGAAAACTATAAAAACTATAATTAGGTATATGTTAATACCTACTTTTATTTTTCTTAGATAAGAGTATAAAAAGGGATATGTTTTTATTTGAATTATCCTATGTATAGAGGTAGTAAATGACTCATTAAAATAGAAATTTACGAATGTAAATTGAAATCGTGTAGGAGATGTATGAGGTCTTTGGAAAATATATTTACAATTTATGAACAATAATGAATATTTTTTCATCACAAGTCAATATTATTGATTATAACATGTAATTTCCAGCTTTGTTTGCTGAATTGACACGTATTTTGAATCATATCATGGGGATAGGAACACATGCTTTAGACATAGGAGCTTTAACTCCATTTTTCTGGTTGTTTGAAGAAAGAGAAAAACTGATGGAATTTTATGAACGAGTTAGTGGTGCACGAATGCATTCAGCATATGTAAGGCCTGGAGGTGTGGCTCTTGATCTCCCTCTTGGGCTTATGGATGATATATATGAGTGGGCTTCAAAATATTCGGAGAGGCTTGACGAAATAGAAGATATATTATCAGAAAACAGAATTTGGATTCAGCGTACAAAAGATATAGGTATTATTAGCGCAGAAGATGCTTTAAATTATGGCTGCAGTGGAGTTATGCTACGAGGTTCTGGAATAAAGTGGGATATTAGAAAATCTGAGCCATATGATGCCTATGACCTTGTGGAATTCGATATACCTATTGGTATTAGAGGCGATTGCTATGACAGGTGAATTATAAAAGTTTTACTGCTATATCTGCTCTTTTTAATTGTGCATCATATTTTTGTACACTTATGTCAAATACTAAATTGCATCGCACGTTTTTATACTTGTATGTTATCAAAATAAGAATAGTCGGTATAGTCTAGAAAAAAAAGGTTTTTTGGTGACGATATATAATCTAAAATTTATCATCATCATCATCACCGTCATCATCGTTGTCGTCATTATTTGTTTTATTTATTATTATTGTTGTTTTTTTAATTATTTTTAATATTATTTTTATCATTACTCTTATGACACATGACGGTTTTATGTATGCTATTAAGTTTTTTAAGTTGATAATGTTGAACTATGCAAAATTACGTAATCTTTTCCCTACGACTTTACGAACTTACTATTATTGCAACGCATTTAGAATGCAGCCGTATTTTTAGTGAATTTTTTTACTCGTTGTAACATGTCTGAAAGCAGTTTGATGGTGAGTTTTTTTAAAGTTCTAAAATAATTTTTACTAGTTACATGTTCGTAAATTTTAGTATTAAAAACCATTTAAAAATCTTTGAGAATCAATATGATAAANTTTGAAGTTGAGTCGTTAGAGCTACATACAAAATATAGATATTTTTATTTTTATTTTTTACACCTCAGGTGGTCAATAGAACTCTGCGTGGATATTACTGTTAATGTAGGTGGAGTGTCTCACTGTATATAATGCATGTTTACTCAACGAGCAACAAGTGCTGTAACGACGATTAAAGACTTTTTATATACACGCATGTTTGTATAGATTAGAGCATGCGTACTCCATTGGGAATATTATATATCTAACTTGTAGATATAAGTGTGTTAGGGCTATATATACGTCTTCTCAGTCAATTGTATAATACAAATTGACTTCTTTGTTTAGTATTTTTTGAACTATTTATAGTCCGACCTTAATCAGCTGGTAGAAAAAACAAGAAAAAAACCATTAGTATATTTTGTGTCTTATTGGCTATGTTAAAAATTATTCTTTTTATTCCTATAACAGCAGATTCTGCCAAAAATATAAAAGGATCTGTAGAGGTAGAAAATTTATTTGTACATTTACTATTATCCCTTTCTCCTTTACACAATTATGTTTTTCATACGACAAATATGACTTTCTTGTCAAAAATGGGTTTTCTAGAAAGAATATTTTTATAGCTCTGCGTCTGCTTGCTCTCATAAATAAGCAACACAGGTAAAGCTTTGAACACTGGCTTACTTATCTTAAACACAGTACCTTGTCCACTTTAAAACAATTTGTATGATTCTAACTATGACTGGAAGTGAGATAACTGTGTTGATGTATATTTCCTATCCGTATAGTTTGAAATACACTCAGACTGTATACTGATTAAATCAAACTCTACACAATATTCTTGTCTTTACTTTAATCAGAGTATATTATGTATAATTACTGGCATTTACGTTCAACATGATTTTTTTAAATGTTAAGTAATACGTTATATAGGTAAAAACTTATAATAAGTATAAATTGCCACTTAAAAATAAGAAAATCGTAGGACTTATGAAGGATGAGTGTAATGGTAATATTATTACAAAATTCATCGGTCTTAGAAGAAAAATTGTACAGCATTCTTGTTCAAAATCAAGACATAATAAAAAAGCAAAGGGTGTCAAGACTAATGTTGTTGAAGCTACTATTAATTTTAAAGATTATATTGATTGCCTACGCGATCAAAACATAAATATAAATCGAGAGCAAATGAATATTAGATCTCGTCTGCACAAGATTTATACTGAAAAACCAAAAAAATAGCTCTTAGCTCTCGTTATGATAAGCGATGTATTTTCCCTAATATCACTGATACAATACCCTGGGGGTATTATAAAGTAAATCAAAAACGGCGAGATGGATATGTAGAAGAGAAAGCTCAGGAAGATAGGGAAAACATAAAAAGTCCAAGATATGAGAGTCATGCTAATATGTCACCGAGTGACCATAAAATAATAAATAGAGAATCGAGATTTACAACGGATGGAGGTGAAGAAAAAAAAAATGAAGAGGACAGATGGAAAACAGCTTGTATAGGAGAGAGAATTCAAGGAGGGATCAACATGACGACATCACAAAAAGAAATAGAGGAACCTTCACATTCAGAGCAACTAAAAAATAAGCGTATCATTAATCAAATGCAAAACAATGAGCGAAATATAATAACTTTTAGTTTTCATGGTAGTGAGCAATGTAATGTTACCTCTATGATTGACTCATCGTCCAGCGAGAATGATGAAATAATTAAAGAACGTAACAGAGAAGAACAAAAGGGTGACGACAATGAGCTCAAAGTAACTTGTCAAAAAGAAACGAGTGGGGGGGATTACTATAGTAGAGCTCCTTTATGTGATAGTAGAAACCTCGTATAAAAAACCGCAACAACAACGGCAGGCCAGTTTGATCAGAGTTGCCAAACAGCGACGTCAAGTCATCGATCGTTTCGTATTTGAAGCAAAGGGTATCGTCCAACAATAACCTCACAAAAGAACAAGTGTGAAGACGGACAATTGTGAAGATTTCCCGTTGAGAAAAAGGGTAAAAAACAATTTTGAGGTAAATATAAATTTGTTTTCTTCATAACCATATTTTTTTTTACCCATTTTTCTTTTTTTCATAAATATTAAAATTAGTAAAAATTTTGTGTTTCTTTGTTACAGATGTCCAATCTAGCAGCTTTAAATAAAGTCGCTTCTGGAGGCTTCCTCCCGTGCAAGAAAATCACCGAGATTATAGTAAACCACAGATACATGGTTACAAAATTAAAGAAAGTTAATACTAAATACGGAATAAAAGCAGTTGTGGAACTCAATGACAAGTTTCAAATATTTTTACCCAGTGCAGTGTCAAAGAATGTAGTTGATAATGAAGTGCTATATAATAATTTATTAGATTCCATACAGAAAATGGAGCTCTTTATAACTTATAATGGTTCTCATATTCAATTTTCAAGTGAATAG